ATTGGTTATGAAAGTTGTTTTTTAATTTATATTAATTAATATCTATTAATATTTATATTTATTAATACTAGTAATATTTACATTTTATCAATATTTATTTATAATTAATATAAATAAATAATAGTTAATATAAATAAGAGTTATAATTGGAAAAAGTGACAATAAACTACCAAAATGCTACTCCAAGTAACGTTTCAATAAGCTAGCTAGTTAGTTTATGTGCATCCAAACGTGTACCCAGAAAATAATATAGCTTATTTTTGCCAAACAATGTCTTAGGAGAAAACCCAAAAAATGAAAATTTGATGCTCACCCTAGTAACTTTTTATTTGGATGGTATGCACATATATATACAAGTAATTGAAACTGTTTTTTAATTTTTATGCACGTGTACATGTTATGCACATGTATACCAGACAAATTACTTGTATGCACATATATGTACCTTTCAAATGAGTGAATATCATGTGTTTCTCAGTTTTTCAATTTCTTTTACGGTTTTCCCTTTAACATAACCCCCATATATATATATATATATATATATATATATATGTGTGTGTGTGTGTGTGTGTGTGTGTGTGTATGTATGTGTGTATGGATCTTTATTTGGAAACTTATAAAATTGTGATAACTTTGGGAACCGATGTATCATATGCTATTTCAAATGATTTTTCATTATACGACTTGGAATTAGTCTATTGATTAACATATATTTATTTCACAATGTAAATATTTTTATTTATTTACGAGACATGGAAATACAACTAAAAAGTTTCACATTATGAACCGAATCATATGAAACAAATATATGTTAATAAATATATTAAGTTATATATTTTGATATTATACATGGATCAGTGAACATACAGGTTCTCTGGGTCTCAATTTTTTTTTATAGTTCTTACATGACGTTAGATCTATTATCATTAATATTTTTGGATTATTCATTATGAATAATTTATAAATAAATAGTTGGCTATCAGTTATAAAAAAATATTTACCGTTATTAAATAATTGCAGTTCTCGAAAATAATATGAATAAATCAATAAACAATTAACAAAAGCCTTTTATAATCGTGGATGTTCGAACCACCTTACACATACCTCAGTGAAAACATAATCTTCATTCAATCTGGGTTTCAATATCTGTATTAGAAAACAGTAGTTGAGTGATTAGATATTTGCAGTACAAATCTAAATTCATAAAAGAAATTAATTCAAAATATAAGAAACTAAATTTATCAGAATCTAAAGCATCCATAATGGAGGATCTGTTGATGTTCATCTTAGAATTTTTACAAGAACCTCCACTGTGTGACAGAGGTTCTTGTTCAGTTACAAGTTTTTATTAGAACCCAAGTGCTTGAACAAGAACTTGGGTTCTTGTATACATTCACTTTTTGTTATTATTTTTATTATCTTTTAACTATTTTATTTTCATTTAATAAATATATAAAATAGATAAGTTAAAACTGATATATAAAGTATAAATTAATTATTATAATTTTTTTTTAATTTTGATTTATTTTTTCGTTGCTTATAAAATTTTATACAAGTTTTTGTATTAATAAGTTTAATTTTTAATTATTTTATTATATTATTTTATTGTAGATTTAAATAATTCAACACAAATATATCAAGATTTTGCTCAAATGAAGTTCATCATCAACTCCGTTCCGACTTGATTGAACATATATGGTCGAATCGATATTATGAGTGATCTATACTACTATTTATTATTTAGTGTTACTTTTTATAAAGATCAGTATTTGTATAATTTTATTCTTTTTTAACTGTTATAAAAAATTATGTTTATATTTTATTTGTTTTCCAGTATGCTAATAAAATATATAAATTAACAAAGTAAAATTAATATGGAAAAGTGAAAATTAATAAATTATATTTGATTCTTTTTATAATTTTATAAGATATATTAAATTTATATATTAATTTATAAATAAAATTAGTTTTATAAATTAAAAAAAAAATGAAAAGTGAGGCTTTGTAACAACCTTCATCGTGAAGTTTTATTGAGGTTCTTATTTAATAATGTCAATAAAAAATAGGACAATTGAGGTTTTTAGAGATTTAACCGTTGTAAATAATATAATAAGGATATTAATATGAAAGAAATTAAATTATCTATACTATATTATAAAGCATTTGACAAAAACTCTTAAAAACCATTTTTTATGTATAAAGTATCGTATATTAATGCATATTACTTAAAATTCAATATTACAAGTAATTATGCATAAGTACAACTTATTAAAGCTCCATGTTTGAATTCGCGTAACTAACTGCGGATAAACATAACCAATTAGAGGACAAACATCTCATTTTAAAATATAAAAAATCTAAAATATAATTAGGATAATTATCGAGTTCTAACAAAATAATTAATTCTTATCTTTATAAGAAAATTATATTATTAAACCAAATATAAATTACTTCGTTATTAAACCTAAATGAAATTATAATAAAAAATTTGAATTAGAAAATTACACAAAAAATAGGAATTTTAAATAGTTAATTTGATACTAATATCGATATATTTTTGTCAAATTTTCATGATATCTTCAAATTTATATTTTATTAAAAAATAAAAACATTATCGTTTTTTTTAAAATCACATAAAACCATACTAAAACATCGATTGAGATAAAGAATAAAACGAAAAATATTAAAATCAAGATGTATCTCGCTGGATTGCGCGAGTACCCTTCTAGTCCCTTTATAATAAGTGTAATATTTGTTTAGATTCAATAAATATTTAAAACTTTACATGTTAAGTGCTAAACTATGAGTTTTGAAAGTACGTTATCCAAAATAAAAATCAAATCAAAGTACGTTATTTTTTAATGCAATTTGCCCAATAGAGAATAAAGAAATATAATATAAAAATAATATTTTATAAAAAGTTTGTTAGAATATTAAATATGATGATTTTTTAATAATATAATTAATGTCAGATACTCTAAAAAACTATTGGAGATACTATTATAGAATAACGATTACTTCTAGTCTCGAAAATTAATATGAATATATTTAATTTTTACAAAAATCAATAATTATATTAAAAAAAACAAAACAGTTATTAGAAATAAACAAAAAACGGTTTCAAATTTATAAAACATCAGCTTATCATAAATATTTAACATATAAAATTAAACAAATATAACTAATAAACAACTAAAAAAGTTGTATAAATTATATATATATATATATATATATATATAACTCAGCTTAATGAGATGGTAGAATTTTACAGTAAATTGATCATCTGATATTTATTATTTAAAAAAACTTTTAATTTGAGAATTACATATGATTTTATTTGTTTTTGAAAAAAAAAAAATCAATAATTACATTAAATTTATAATGGTTATTTTGAGACACAAAAAAATTGGTATTAAAAATTAATGCATGTTCAATATAATCTCTAAAATAGAAAAAAAAATGTATATAAAAACATAAATTTAATATTTTACAAAAAGTTTGTGGTCAAAGTTTGTTGCAAAATTAAATATACTAAATAATATAATTTATACAAAAAAATATAAAAATTATTGGACATACTTTTATAGAAATAACAATTGTAATGATAACCTTAAAAACTTGTGTATCATGTGTTATTTCATGTGATTTTAAAATTAAGATTTAAAAAATATTAATTAATATATATTTGTTTCACAATATGTTTGTTTGATATTTTTGAAACAAAAAATAGACATAAAAAAGTTTCACATTGTAAACCGAATGTATATGAATCAAATACACTGTGAAATAAATATATGTTAATTAATACATTAAATACTATATTTGGATGGGAAAAAAAAATCATGTGAACAAAAACCTTAAAGTAAAAGTTCTCATAAATCTTATAATTTTCAGAGTTCTTAATGATTAAGTCCATATATATAAACTTGGGATCATGTGAGAC